TTTTATGTATAATATTCTATGTGTGCGTGTTTCTACTATGGTCAACGGAATACTTTTTTTCTTTCAGGTTTTATTTTTTAACCATTTTATTTTAGTTAAGCTTGTTAAGGTAGCACTTTACAGAAATAAACTCAAAGTTAACTTAAAAAAACCAAAAAAGCTGAGGGGGAGGGGAAATTCCTTGGAAGCTTGCCAAGCTCCCCTGGAGGCCAAGCACTGTTGCTTCTCTTGTTGCTGCTTTCTTCAGCTGACCAGATTCTTTCTATGCAGTTCAACTTTCTTGGCTGCTTGTTTTATCCCACTTACACCCGAGGCTAGGCTGTGCAGAACTAGGCAGCTTACAAGGGCCCATCCTTTGATTGAAGCAATTTACTAGTCAGCCATCCTGAAACAGATTACAAAGGCTTGCTATGTCCAGAACTTCCAAAGGGTTTCTTTCCTTCCTAAGTGGGATAAAGTAGGCAGTTTCGTTATGGTAGGAGTTAGCCTTTCCTGATTTCAGATAATTGACAAACAGGGATTGTGAAAGTCATCATGACTATAGATTGATTATATAATAATATATATAATCTATTATATAGACTTATTAATAGATCAACAAAAAGATACTAAATCCCTTTGTCTATGATTTGGCTGTTGAGAATGTTTTCTTCTACCCATTTCATCTAGCTTTAGGTTTTTGGCTCCGAACACACGCAATATTTCATAAACACTAAATTAACAATGTTTAGTATGAGCAAGATCCTATGGTGATGAAAGAAGTAGTTCAGGCTGCTTTGAAGGAAATGGCAAAAAATAAGGGCCCAGGAATAGATGGTATACCAACTGACATATTTTAGCTAACAGATGCTGCCCTGGACGTGCTCACCAAGTTGTGCCAAGAAATCTGGAGAACAACCACTTGGCCAACTGACTGGAAGAGATCTATATTTGTTCCCATCCCAAAGAAAGGTAACCCAACAGAGTGTAGAAACTATAGAACAATCTCATTGATTTCACATGCAAGCAAGATTCTACTGAAGATTATCCAAAAATGACTGGAACAGCACATCAACAGAGAACTACCAGAAGTCCAGGCTGGGTTTAGAAGGGGTCATGGTACTAGGGATATTTTACCTGATGTTAGATGGATCTTAGCTGAAAGCAGGGAGTACCAGAGGAATATTCTATCTGTGTTTCATTGACTATGTAAAGGCGTTTGACTGTGTGGATCATAACAAACTGTGGCTGACTCTGAGAAGAATGGGAATCCCAGAACACTTGATCGTGCTAATGAGAAACCTATACTTGGACCAAGAGGCAGTCGTCAGAACAGAGCAAGGAAACACTGCATGGTTCAAAATTGGGAAGGGCGTACACCAGGGATGCGTCCTATCTCCATACCCTTTCAACCTGTATGCAGAACAGATCATCCAGGAGGCTGGTCTCTATGAGGAGAAATGTGGGGTCAAGGTTGGTGGACAATCTATCAACAATCTGCGTTATGCAGATGACACAACCCTGCTTGCTAAAACTGAGGACCTGAAGCACCTGCTGCAGAAGATCAAGGACTATAGCCTCCAATATGGATTGAGGCTCAATGTCAAGAAGACAAAGATTCTCACCACTGGGTGAATTGGCAGCATCAGGATGGATGGTGAAGAGATTGAGATTGTTCACAGCTTTAGTTTGCTTGGCTCCCCAGGCAACAGTCTTGGCACCAGCAGCCAGGAAATTAAAAGGCACATTGCCATGAGAAAGTCTGCTGTTAGGGACCTCTCCAAAGTACTGAAGAGCAATGGTGTCTCTCTGAAGACTAAGGTGCGTCTGATCCAGGCCATGGTCTTTTGCAATCACTAGTTATGCATCAGAGAGTTGGACAATGACCAAGGAGGACAGGAGAATTGATGCCTTTGAGCTGTGGTGCTGGAGAAGAGTATTGAGAGTACCTGGACTGCTAGGAAAACAAACAGATTCATCCTGGAAAGGGTTAAACCTGGTGGCTCTTTGGAGGCAAGGACTCTGAGGCTCCGTCTAACATACTTTGGACATGTTGTAAGAAGAGACTGGTCCTCAGAAAAGGACATCATGCTGGGGAGGGTGGAGGGACAGCGCAGGAGGGGAAGGCCCTCTATGAGGTGGGTTGATTCGGTAACTGGGGTAATCGGGATGGGAGTGTCAGAGACAGTGCGATTGGCACAAGACAGAGTTTAGGGCTGTTGTACATAGGGTCGCTATGAGTCGCAAGCGACTCGATGGCACATAACAACAACCACCACAAGTAATTAAGAAATGCTATGGTATGCTATATGCAGAACAGATTATCCGGGAGGCTGGGCTCTATGAGGAGAAATGTGGAGTCAAGATTGGTGGACGATTTATCAACAATCTGCGTTATGCAGATGACACAACCCTGCTTGCTGAAACTGAGGAGGACCTGAAGCGC